TTGCTGTATCCCAGCTCACAGCAGCTCAACTGGAGGAGAAAACCCTCTGCCAAAATCCCTGCATGCTGCTTGTTTTCCATCCTCAGGACTCACGCACCAGGCAGCTCGGAGGGCATGTCAGCATCGGCTTCTCATCCTTGCCCGTGATAACAAGCCCCAGGTCTCAGCCTCTGTGCCCTGATCCATCACTTAGCAGCATGAAGATTGGTAATATGATATAAAAAAGGAAATTAATTCAATACCACAACAGGTTGGGGGCATTTTTTAGGTCAGTTATGAGAAATCTATTCCCTGAGCTTGTGTTTGGAGGCTACAGTCTCCAGGATCACTGTATTTGTTTTTCTCTGTGTAGTCAGTGCTGTTAATATTTTAACAAGGAGCTCCCACAGACAAGTTTGCCCCTTGGCCAAGGGCAAAGGGACAGGATAAATTTCCATTTGTTTTCCTAATAAAACAAAAATATTTTCTTATGAACATAATCAAGGCCCTACTAACACCAGGCAAGGCAGCTGCTTACGCTGAGCAGCACTTTGTGTTGGCAGCACATTTGCTAAATTTAGGAAGGAGGTGAGGAAACAGTAAAACAGACCAATCAATCCATGCAACCTGACATGCCTGGGAGGTGGAGTGCAGTGAGACAAAGCTTTCTGCAATGACCACAGATAGTTTTCTTGGGGTGATTTTTCCATAATAAAAATTATGTATAAAGGAGATTGAACTGCCAAGCAGAAATTAAATCCCCCAAAATTTCAAGAGAAACACAATCCCATCAGAGGCACAGAAACCTGAAATCCTCCCCTTCCACCATAACACACCTTAAGACCTGACCCTACTAAAAATGGGTTTGTTACCCAAAACTTAACCTGAGGGCCCCCACTGATTCACTGATCCTTGTTCCCATACATGTTATCTCCACAAGCCATTCAGGGCACATGGAAGCATTTTGAACACACTGCTGAATAACAGGATGCAACAAAATCTTGTCGATGCTCCAGAGACAAGCACCACGGCTGCCAGTGCAGGAACAAAGTAGCCATGGCGAGGACATCCAGCCTCCTGAGGCAGTGACAGTGTCTCACCACAGCAGGGCAGGAAGCAGCGCCCCATGGAAAATGCAAAACCGGAGCACTGCACTTGAATATCAAATAGTGACAACATCTGGAGAGGAAGAACGTTCTTCCCAATAAGAAAATACTTCTATTGGAGGAGCAAAGCAATCTATTTTAAAAAATCCTGCCATTCAAACTTCTGAGTAAGGGGGATCTCGATAAAAAAGTGCCTTGAAAGGAGTGCTCTGCTGAAACAAGTTTTCCAACCACACTGTCAGATTTTTGAGCAGCGTTTCTCAGACACAGGAAAAGTCCCTGTACCCTGCTCCCACTGTCACAGCAGTTGTACTGCTCTGCAGGCACAGATCTGCTCCTTGTGTGCAGGGCTCCCAAGGGGATAAAGAAGAAGATCACCCTCCTGAAGACTGCTGTTCACAGCAGAATTTGTCTCTAATTACAGCCAGGGACAGTATGTTGTGTTTCCAGCACCAGCAAGAACTTTTTTGACAAAGAACCTCAAGATTTCATCTAGCAAAGCCCAGGACTGTTATTGACTGCCACAGAAAGCAGCACAAAGTGCTATGCACACTTTGACACCTGTGATTTTGTTAGACATTCTGAACTGTGCTCTGTAATCAGCTGTGAGCACATACAGAGAAGCAGTACTGTGTTTAGAATGTCCACATACCACACAACTACTAATACCACTGACCTGTTAGGGGGAACAGAACATTACCATCATAGTTTCAGCTATCCTGGAGCATGTACATGTAATATGCAGTAGCAGGAAGCATTCAGGAAAGACCTTGGCTCTGCTGAAAACCATCAACTTCAGGTAAAGTAAAAGCTTCACCTTTAGCAGTGTCAGTTGAAACTCCCTCTCCATTGCAGACCTGATTCCTGAAGGACTTTCGCAGTATCTTTGAGAATAAACTGGTTTCCCTGACATTTGGCATGCCACATCTTGTGCTCAGGAGTCCTAGCAACTCTGCCCAGGACACTGGCTAAAGAGGAGAGACTAAGAAATACTGTGCAAAGGTACGGCTGCCAAAACATTTCTCGGAGCATTTTTGGGAAGCAGCTCCAGTTTGTGGGTTAAAAAGAAGTCCTCCTGTTCTCTGACTGTATTCCCACAGATGGCAATGTTTGGTCATTTTTGGCAATGAGAAACATGGTATTTTAAAGCAGTGGTTGGGTTTTCTCAATGACAAAATTATAATCATATCTCATGTTTCTACCACACTGTCAACACTGGTAATGTATCTTACTCTGCTTTCTTTAAAAATAGTTTGACTTTGGAAACGTATTTAGCGCTGACTTTTAAGATTAGATGTATATGGTAGCTGTGTCCAAGCACTGCAGCTATGCTTGATGAAATTCATAACGAAATATTTCAAACTGAATGATATTCATGACAAAATAATTCTTTTGCAATTCTCCCAGGACTTGCTCAATGAAGCCCCATTCAGTTATGCTCAAGAAATGAAGGATTCATCTGTCATCTGCAGAAATACTAAGAGCCTCCCTCCAGTAAATGAGTAAGAGCCAAAAAGAGTAGAGTAGTTCCAATATACATAGGAAGTTGTTGTCTCGGGGAACATAACCCATGTGGTTTAGAGATACAGTTGTATAGACAGAAGATAAATAAATAGACAGAGTTTTGACTAACCTTTATTCCATACTCCAATACAGCTCATTTCCCTGTAATTGTGTTTGATAGACACACACAATTTTCTAAGTCTAAAGAGAGCAGTAATTTTCCCTAAATCACTAACATCACCAAAAATGACACCACCTACATTATTCCTCTCTAATGTAATAATACGCTGTTAAGCAAAGAGCTTTGATGATTTTATTACCACATAATGTTTCTCTAAATCAAAAGAAAGAAAAAAAAAAGAAATAAGTTCGGCAATAATCAACCTGTTTCTGCTGTTTACATGGAAATCAGGTGGAATTTAAATAAATAACTTGTCTTTAAAGAAGTCAGATTCAGCTTTCCAAGCAAGGAGAGGTAGATGAGTGATACCCACAACCAGCTCCTCCACGTGTTGTGCTGCTCTTATGCACTGTATTGGATTCCTTGGATTTAGGAACAGTGACATTTGGCAAAGGGGAAACAGCAAACTAACTGCTTTCTGCCACAAACCCTCTTGAATTTAGAGGCACCCACTGACTGATACCGCCCCAGTAGCAATATTTATACATTCATTGAATGACAGGTCAGGAATTACGGAGGGTTTTTTCACACCTATAAAACCACAGATGGGTTGAGCTGCCCAGTGCCCACAGATTGAGGACTCACTGCTTTTATTCAGTCACATGGCAGAACTGGGAGTGATAGTTACCCCTAACTCCTGCCACATCCACTGCCTGTTGGGAGCACTCCACTAGCACTTGGTTTCCAAAACTGTCCATTCCCAAGATAAACCCACTTTGGCAAGAGGGGGAAGATTTCATGCTCTCAGGTACATTGCAACCTCAGGTATGAATGAACATTTGCATCCACATCATTAGCAGAGAAAGGTTTTTGCCTTTGCAAAGAGAAATGTGAGAAAGTCTGCCAGCCCACAAAGAGCAAGACTGGGACAATAACAAATTTACAGCATGGAGTAGCTGAATTAAAAAAACACCACAAAAATAATCTATATCATTGCAAAAACCTTCATGTCTGATTTGAAGTCTTAAAGGTTTCAAGTTTTCTGGGACAGGAAACAGAAGAGAGCAAATGCATTAAAATCAAAGGGAATTTATTAAAATTAAGTTGTTCCAATGTGGAAAACACAAAAATGTCTTGCTTTGAAAAAGTCTCAGACAACATTTAGCTGTCAAAAAAGCTTCCCTCAACTCAAATGTTTCAAACAAAAATAAGAAGCACCTGTAAAAATATCTTTCAGAGCTGCTGCATCTGTGTTCATTTTTACTTAAGGAAACAGTTTTATACAAACTCAGGAAGACTCCTGTTTTAGTGGAGCCCCTCTGATGCTTACGACGTACTATTTTTTGACACAATGACCTCTGAAAATTTTCCAGTGGAAGTGTGAGTAGCACATGTAAGGTAATTATCGATTTGCTCTCGTTACTTATTTTCTGCAGACCTTAAGAATGAACTCAGAGCTCTCTCAGGGGCTGGAAAGCAGAGGCCAAAACATCTGCTCCTGGACTTTCATCAGCACCAGCTGATGACTTGCAGCATGTGCCACAAGAGACAGCTGCTGGTGGCTGCTTTTCCCCTCTTACCTTGCTCCGGTGACATCCACGCCGACCATCAGCTGGCCGTTCAGAGAGAGGATCTCGTCTTTCAGGCGCACTCTCCCACACTTCCCGGCCGGGCTGTTTTTCTTCAAGTCCGTCACCCAGATGCACCCAACGTCAAGCACAGGCCCCTTATGCCCCTTCCTCTTCTTTCCTACCCGACGCTTCTCCCCATAGTCCCCCAGAGCAGGGATATTCCCAAAGCTCAAACCTAGAACCTCGTTTTTTCGCATCTCCTGGGCCAGGTACATGGTGCAGATCTCTGTATCCAGAGTCCCACAGCTCCCTGGCTGCAGTGTGCTCTCATCCACAGAGAAGTTGAGCTGGATGTACTCGCTCAGCTTCTGGACGGCCGAGCGGCAGAGCTGCTGCTCGGCTCCCTCGGCCCCCTCCCGACGGCTGTTCTGCAGCCACTGGCACAGGAGGGGGAGGAAGACCCCTGCGTTGTCCTGTGTGATGGGCATCGCTGTCCCCGTGCATCCCCTCACGGCATCAGCTCCGGCCCCAGTCGGCTCCCTGGTCGTCTGCCGTGGTCCCCTGCAGCCCCTGTGGACATGCTGGAGTGGGGCTGCAGATTCAAAGCAAACTCCATTTAATCTTAGGGAGATTTTTTTTGGGGGGTGGGGGGGGTTGGGTTCTGGCTGACCAAAAGCACAGTCAAGGTAGGATGTTTGGTGTACACAGCACAGCCTGTTAGTGGCTGAAGCAATGGGGAGTGTCTCTGGCTGTCCAGGTATGCCTGCCGTCGGGGTCCCCACTCCGCTGGGAACAAAGTGTCCTTCCTGCCACGATCACCACACCGTCTTGTCCTGCAAGGGGTAAACAGCATGGTTAGAAGTGCCAAAACCACTGCAGGCGTTCAACAGCCCCAGCCCAGCACCCCAACGCCGGCTCTCAGGCCGGGCCGCTCTCCTTCTGCGACTTGCCACTTGAGGGCACCAGCTGCTCTCCTCAGCAAGGGAATAAAAGGTCACCATTAGCTCCTGACCTTCCCGGTAAAATGGGAATTGGAGAGCCGAGCGGATGCTCCTGCCACAACTCCAGGGCTCTTAGCGAAGCAGAGGAGACACTCCAGCCAAACCCATTCCAAGGACTGCTGAAAGGGCAAAGCGCAATACTTCAGTCTCGCCAGTGACTGAACGTGGCTGATGCCCCTGCTGGAGGCAGCTCTGCCTCCTCCATGCCAGTGATTTTGGGCTGAGATAGTCTTAAACTGGTCACGTCTCTGACTTACCTCCCCACCAAGCTGCACGAGGGATGGGCAGCAGCATACATGAAGGGTGAGGACATCAATGGGCTCCCTCCTCTTACTGGCAGCAGTGGCTTACAGCAGACTGAATCAACCCCATAAAGCATCTAAGGGAGGCGACTACCCGGTCTCCTGGGACAAGAGTTGGGCAGGTGAATTCCCCAATTTCCTGCACTTCTGAGAGTGAGGCACACAAACAACCAGGAAGCAGTGAGAGCTGGGGGTTAGCAAGCAAGAGGGTGAGAAAGGGGTTTTTTTCATGATCATTAGGATCTGTGAAACAAGAAAAAACCCTGACGCGAGTCAAGTCTGATTGACTGGATTCTTTCAGGGATTTATTTTCTAGCAGCGGATGCTGCTCAGTGAGCTGTGCACCAGGAAGGCAGGAGAAAGCAGCAGCTTTGAGCTTGCAGCCTTCAGGCCTGCTCTTGCAGATGTGTACGCAAGGCTTGGCTCTGGCAGAAGAGCTGTAGAAGGACCTTGTAACGCCAAGAGTATGAGTGTAAAGGGAGGCTCTTGCAAAATGTTGCTGCCCAGAAACTGTATCCAAATTTCTGCCACCTCCCTGGCTGCATGGCACTACTTAGACGGACAGGAGTAACCCCAAGAAAGCTCAGGGAAGGACAACAGATCGGGACCACATGTGGTCCTCCTAGGACACCATCATCTTCACCAGCAGGGTGATGCTACACCAACAGCTCAAAAAGGATGGGCATCAGCTTGGGGATGGAGGAAATGGCCCACTGCCTAGTGAGAGGCACTTCTGAGTTAGCACAGGTCTAAAAAGAAGAGGTGGTAATAGAGACACAGATTGACCATGAAATAGCCTTAAATCCTCCGCGCCTCTTAGATATTTAATGCAACACTGGTGAATATATTTTTTAACACAGAACTTAGGTCTTATTTAAGATCTCAGATTTAATTTAAGACAAAAGTGATGATTTAAGTGACATAACTGGAACTTGCTGTAGTAAGACCTCGATCTGGAATACCGATCTAAAGATGCATGGCTTATATATGAACCAAAAAAGAAAACGCAGAGGCACTCTTGACATACTGAGGATGATCTATATACTTGCTCTGAGGTCCAGAACACAGAGGGAGGAAGAACTGCTAAATTATCTGGTTAATAATAAAAGTGAAAAAACCACAAATAAAACAAACCCTAAACAAAGAACCTGATACAACTGACTCAATGGCAACAGGAGAGTACAATCATGAGATATCTGCTAGGAAAGGAGAGCAGTATGAGACAGAGGCTCCTGGTGCCTTCAGAACAACATTCTCACATAACAGATAGGTCAAGGAAGGAAGTGCCTCCAGAGAGGGATACATTGGGGGCAAGAAGGTGGAAAGAAACTCATGTAAGAATGCCTGTAAAATCAAGAGATAGGGGACAGCAAAACAGAAATTATTGGCTTCAGTACATTAAAAAACCCTACTAGGTAAGAATTCATGCAGAAGAGTTTAAAGGAAAAAGAAATCAAGGTGAGCTGTAGTTCCTCGAAGAAACAATATTTTGTGCTTAAAAGGCACAGGCACAATAGCATCTCAATGCAGAAGGATCAGAAGACTTGGCAGCATCACGAGCTTTTCATTTTCCTCAAAGACAAGAAGAAAGAACACTAAAAGGTTACCGAGCAGGAGTTAAAAAACATAGTGTGAACACATAGGCAAAAATAATAGAAACATCAGGGCATAAAAATGAAATAAAACTTGGAGAAGATGAAAAATAAGAAAAAAAATTACTCTTTATATGCATATTAATACCACAAAGACAGTCTGAAAAAGTGTTGCTCAGAGAGAAAGTTATTGAAAAATGACACTGAAAAAGGCAACACTGGTTTGCTTTTTGCTTTAGTCCTTGTTAAAATTGCCACCTATGTACAGAGGATTAGTATACAATGCGACACAATATCAGTACAGACGTACACTATCCTCTTCTCGGCCTGTTCCAGGGTGAGATCCGTCCTCTGTCCAAGTCAAGTATTTTGTCCAGCAGAGTAGGACAAACCACCTTTTAAATTCCCTACAAAATCAGCCGAAACCGTCTCAGATACCTCCCTGCTGGTCACTTGTGAGAACTCAGGCAGGTAAGGTGCCAGAAGGAAGGACAACGGCAAGTGCAGTGTCTGTCTTTAAGGGTAGAAAGAGAAGCAGCAGAAGAATGCTACATCACTCAGTAGTCTATCTTCAATCATTTTAAAAACTCTAAGTCAAACAAAGAAACAGTCTGCATGTATGTGGAAGAGAACAAAAATATAAGAAGTAGATACAGGAGAGACAAGAAAAAAGTAATATAAAATCAAATTAATTTCATAATGGAGAAGTTGTTGAATGTCATTTATCTGGGCTTTATTATAGCTTTTGTCACTGTCTCAAACAACTTCCTCATAAACAAACTAAGGAAACATGATTAAATGAGACTACCATAAATCCATACCCAGGGAGTAGTTATTAATGACATTCTGTGAAAACAGAAGGACACTGTGAGTGGAACTCTGCTGGATCTAGTTCTGCTCAGCACATTCATTAGTGACCTGGACAAGGAAAGAGAGTACACATATTAAATCTGCAGACTACACGAAGCTGGGAGTGTCTGCAGACACACTGGAGAACGGGATTAGCATCTAAAATATCTTGGGAAAAATCAGAAAAACATTCTCTAAAAATTAGGATAAAGTTCAGCAAGGATAAAAGCAGAGTACTACAAGAGGAAAACCACACTTAGATAGGTTGGCTTAGATAGGTGGCAAGTCTCTGGGAAAAGATGTGGAGTTTCACAGAACTATAGAATCACAGAATGGCTTGGGCTAGAAGGAAATCCAGTTCCAACCACACTGCCATGGGCAGGGAAACCTTTCACTAGACCAGGTTGCTTGGAGTCCCATCCAGCCTGGCCTTGAACACTTCCAGAGTTTCTAGGGAATCATTCCCATCAATAAAGTCTTGTTGTTGGGGAAGTAAAAGGGTCATTGTCCAAGGATGTGTCAACAGGGACAAAGCCTACGAGGCATGTGAAATATCTCTGTAGCTTCACGCAGGGCTGGGAAGGTCTCAGCAGCAAAACTGCCCAGTTGGAGCAGAGCTCTGCCAGTCTTGAAAGTGTGACTTACTAGGAAATACTCAAGAAATTAGGGCCTGCTAGTCCGAAACAGAGAAGGCATTGCAGGTGGGGAGTGAGAGCACAAGTTACAGGTCCTCGTGTACTTTAAAATGCCCTAGAGTGACCAGGAGGAGAAAAACAGTCTGTTCTGCTTGCCCATGGTGGAGTAATGGGTGCAAACCATATCAAGATAGGTTTAGGTTAATGGTTAGGTAACATAAGGATAAAGAATATCAAAGCACTGCAGAACACTGTCTAGAGTGGCTGGAGTCTCCATCACTCATGGTAGCTGCAGAGGGCTGGACAAATATCTGCCACGACCAATGACTAGAGCCAATCTCTCTTGGGCTGTGGGAGAGAGTAGATCTCTCCATTTCAATCTCTCTTACTTTTTTCCTTCAACATCATCTTAGCAAGAGCACAGTGAGTGGTCATTTAATGGGTAACATCCACTAAGTTATGACAATGACATCCTTATCGTTACTTCATCAGCAAACATCAGTATAGTTCTCAGTAACCACACAAGGTTCAAAACCATTTAAGCTCCAGAGAAGATCAGACCAGATCATCCTTTGAGGCCTTTTTTGACCTAATAACTTAAGGAGTTTTGCTCTCAGCTGGTTACCAATTTTGACATTGGGTGGACATGTTACAGGCTGTCCTTTTCAAACTATCCCCAGACCAAAAGCACTGCCCCAGTCTCCAGCCTGGAGAACTTGGGGCTCCTTGAAAGCAGCTGAAAGTTCTAACTCCAGTCTCCAAATCTCCTCTCAACATTGGCCAAGGGCACAACCTGATGTTGACTTCAGCTTCAATCCTGCAGTTGGCTGGTTGAAGCGTTCAAAGGCATCTGCATTCCATGCAAACTCATCCATCATTCATTTAGCCACATTGCTGGAGGGCTCTTCCCCTCCATGCACACATATCCCTCTGGAGATAGTGGATGACAGCCCCCTCCATGCTGCCGGGGGCAGGCAGCCTTCAAAACCCCATTCCTGCTCCCCACAGGAAAAACTGCAGGCGTTGATACGCCGCGGGTTGCCTGTCTACGCCCCCGAGCTCACTGCAGAGCCATGGCAGACACTTAAATTAATCATGTAGATAATTATACAGTACTTTCAAGGGATTTGATTTTCTCAAACAAAACCTTCTGGCTTTGGAAAAATGACTCCAGACAAGCATAAGTAGGAAATACTCCTCCCAGAAGAAACAGACAGCGCAGCACTGAGCTGAACACCTCTGCACTAGTGAGAAGAGCAGCTCAGGTGTCCAGTGCCAACAGAAGCAGAAAATAGAAAGGTGACAAGCTGTTCATCAGGGGAAAAAATAGATCTGCCTGATAAAAATGGAAAACTATAAGAAGAAATTTATTTTTACCCTTGATTTCCACCAAAATAGATTCAAGACACAGGTGAGAAAATTTTAACGAAGTCATCACCACCTTGCTACTTTCT